ACCACAGGGTTGTTCACAATAGTAAAAGATGGAAAGCACCTGTGTGTCCATGATAAGGCATGGCCTGTGTGTGGAGTCCTGTCCGGCCTGAGAGCAAGGGGGTCCTGGCGCGTGCAGCATGAGCCCCCTCAACTGGAGGAGTGCAGGTGAGTCCACCTGCAGGCGGCCCAAAGCCTCTGACTGAGGGGTGGCAGGCAGGAAGGACGGGACCCAGGGCAGGACCCTGTGCAGAGAATCCTTAGGCAGCCACTGGCACCAAGGGAGCTTAGCAGACGCTTGTGCTTCTGCACACCAGCAGAAAGTGTCAAGAGGCTGAGGCAGGAGGATCGAGAGTTCAAAGCCAGCCTCAGCAATGGCAAGGCGCTAAGCAACTCAGTGAGACCCTGTCTCTAAAATATAAAATAGGGCTGGGATGGGGCTCAGAGGTCCAGTGCCCCTGAGATAAATCCCCAGTACCAAAATCAAAACAAAAGAAACAACTCTGCCACAGTGTTGGGAGTGCGAGGTGTTCCCAGCAAGTCCAGGATGTATAACCTGTGTGCGGTAGAAGCCACAGACGTCCTGCGTCACTCCATGTGGGTGAGGTGCCAGTCCTTCTGAAGTCAACGCCTCGCCTCAGTGCTAGCCCAGCAGACCCAAAGAGTGCAGGGAAGGAGAGAGGGTGTAGGGGCCCGCCCAGGGGGAGGGCAGAGCAGCCAGCCTCAGGGTGCCCGGTCCACGGGAGGGATCTAGGTCAGGGCCACCCGGGGGGACTCTGGGCTGGTTCTTGAAAACCTACTCTGAGGTGTGAGGTGGGCGAGAAGACCCCCCATCACCAGAGACTCACACAAAGATGATGCAGAACACTCGCCAGGCTCCCGCAGTCCGCGCCCGTCAAAACCATCTGAGTTTACTTTTCATCAGACTTTTTTACACAGTTCTGTCTCCCAGGAGTTAAGCAGAAAGCAGAGCTGCCTGGGCCCCTACAGGCAGCTGCGGCCAGCACCCGCACCCGCACCGCAGCTGCCCAGGGGCCCCATGGGCGGGTCTGCAGGGCACAGCACGGTTGCCCAGCACCCACACAGGGACACAAACACAACCTGCAAAAGGCGCAGTCCCACTGGGCACTGCCATTTTGCCTGGTCCTGCCAACCGCTGATTTTATGTGCTGACTTTACCCATTGATGACATTCTGACCCCTTCCCGTCTGTCTCTGCGTGTTGACACCCACAGCACACAGGCTTCCGGTAGTCTCTGGCCTCAGGGGTGCGTCCCCTTGCCTTGTGTCTTTCCCTGGCCTCGGCTTGCCTCTCTGCAGTGCTAGTCCCACGGTCTGGGTGCCCACGAGTGTCTGAGCTCTGTTGCCCTGAGACTTCGCTTCCCCTGGCCAGAGACCAAGCCCCAGGGAGGGTGCCTGGTAGGGGACTCCCAGCTCCCTCTGGCAGAGTGGCTGCCCCTGGTGCACACCCCACGGCGCACAGCTGCCCACCTGGGGTTGGGCCACTGGATCGGGTGTGCAGGGCGTCCATGGCTGTCGTCCATCGAGATTCCTGGGCAGTGGACCTTTTTGCCATTTGTGTCTCTTGGTAAAAGAGGGCAGATATTGTGCCCACTTTAAAACCACGTCTTGTTCGCTTCCTGCGTGTTGAGTTTCAAGAGTGTGTTCTGGGTGTCCTGGACAAGAGTCCTTCTTCAGATATGTCTCATCTCACAGATATTTTCTCCCAGTCTGTGTTTTTCTTCTTGAGTTGATTGGGTTTTAAATGCTTTTCTGCTGTCTGGGGAGGGGCCAGGACCTTGCACCCGTCAGGGTGCATCTCCAGCTCCTCGATCAATTGATTTTTGAGAAAGAACAAAAGCAAATCAGGGAGAAAGGATCGTCTTCAAAAACTGGTGCTAGAATGATTGGATATTCATGTGTGGGAGAAATTTGATCTATATTGCCCACCATATAGAAATCAACTCAGATCACTGATATAAAATGTGATCCACCAAACTTATTCAGGAAGTTGAGTTGGGCAGATTTGTTAATCTAACACTAAGTGTGTGGTCCATGAGCAAAGAAATGAGTCAACTGGACTTCAACAAAATGAAGCACTTCTCTCCAAAAGGCAGCTCCAAGGGAGTGCAGAGATAGCCCTTGGCAACTCCCCTCTGCTGAAGGGCTCCTGTTCAGAACACAGCAGAGAGCAGGAGATGGCTGGGGTGGGGACCGTCAGAAAGCTGTCACCAGAGGTCACTGCCTTCACAACACAGGGTGTGCAGGGACCATTATGATCTGAGAGGTCCTGAAGACGGAGCCGCCAGTGGAGCTTCACAGAGGTCCTGCTTCAGGACAGCRGGAGGCCAGGTGTGCACACGCCGTTCCCTGGCTCTTACTGCACACGAGGCACCGAGGCACCGTGAGGCTGGGGGCAGCTCAGCCACAGCGGGCCAGCCTCCCATGGAAGCCCTGGTTTCCTCCCCAGCACTTCAAACAAAAACATGGTTACCAGGGACTGTGGCCTCGCTGTGATCCCAGCAAGGTTTGGAAGGAGACCAGCCTCGGCAACTTTGTGAGACCCTGTCTCAAACTAAAATAAAAAGGGCTGGGGATGTGGCTCCATGGTAGAGCACTTGCCTAGTACATGGGGAGTCCTGGGATCCATCCCCGTATGGCAAAGTAAATAAATAAAACAGTGTAAAATCCTGTTGGGTCACAGCCTCATTTCCAGAAGATGCATCTTGGCCAGGTATTTCAGGTCTACCTCAGGGTCCTGAGGGGCCGGACACCTGCAGTACTGTCAGAGCAATCACAAACTTACGCCTCTCTGGGGGAACATATTCGTAGAAACACAAAGCAAATCTTTGGATATTGTGATAATTGGATTATGTTAAGATTTTTTTTAAATAAAAAGTGGGAAAAAGAAAAAAGAATTAAATGTACCCATAAGAACAACTAAAAGGAAAAAATAGGCTGGAAATCCTTGTAAAGTTAAAAATGCACTGTATTTTGAGGGGCCATTTCTAGGACCCTCACATACCCAACAGAAATGCTGTAGGGTGTGGAGAAAGGTGCAGGGATGCAGCCATGCTGTGGACAGCCAGGCAACCACAGCCAGGTGGCCACTGACCTGCACTGCTCAGCAAAAACTGCCCTGGAGGCCCGGGGATGTGGCTCAAGCGGTAGCGCACACGCCTGGCATGCGTGCGGCCCGGGTTCGATCCTCAGCACCACATACCAACAAAGATGTTGTGTCCGCCGAGAACTAAAAAATAAATATTAACTCTCTCTCTCTCTCTCTCTCTCTCTCTCTCTCTCTCTCTCTCCTCTCTCTCTCTTAAAAAAAAAAATAGTTAAAAAAAAAAAAAAAAACCTGCCCTGGAGACTTCCGGTCCCCTCAGCAGCATGCCAGCCGTGTCCCTGTACCAATGAGCCTGTCATGATCTGCCTTTTCTCTTCCGTGGCATGGGCTAGGCAGTGTTTTCTCAAGGCACCAAGCACCAGGTACACAAGAATAAAGATATAAAACTTTTCCAAAAATTAGGCAATGTTTTGTAGAGAAAAATCTGACAAAGGGCTTATATCCAGAAGACACAAAGAACGCTCACAACTAAATAAGAGCCCCCAAAAATGACAAAAATAGTTGAAGATACTTCATTTAAAAAGACGAGAATGGGGGCTGAGGATGTGGCTCAAGCGGTAGCACGCTCGCCTAGCGTGCGTGCGGCCYGGGTTCGATCCTCAGCACCACATACCAACGAAGATGTTGTGTCCACCRAGAACTAAGAAAAAATAAATAAATATTAAAATTCTCTCGCTCTGTCTTTAAAAAATAAATAAATAAATAAAAATAAAAAGACGAGAATGGCCAATACACACAAGAAATATTTACCTTCATTAGTCATCAGAGAAATGCAAATTAAAATCACAATTGCTACCACACACCTGTTCGAATGGCTCAAATTTTAAAAACTGACGCCGCCAAGTTCGGGCATGAATGCAGAACAAGTGGGGCTCTCCCAACACTGCGGGTAGGAGCTCAAAACTTTTCTTAAATGTGGATGCACAGTACGTGTGTGCCCGGTTGTTGCCACAACTGCGATCTGTGCCCGGTGCAGGCGTCCTCTTCTGGCTCAGCCGTCCCACTGCCAGAGACTGAGCCCCGGAGAACACCCGCAGGTCTCTCTGCCAGCACCAGTGATTACTTGGGCAGCAGGTGCACCTTTTCAACAGAAATGAAGAGGGTGAAACGGGACACTCGGATGAAAGGAGCCAAAGCTCAGGGAGTTCACCTACACGATATTCTAGAAGAGACGGCTCCTGTGGGTGGCGGGCCACCCTGGGTGCGATCACCAAAGCACCAACTGCAAGTGCGAGGGCGACGTGGCATAAGTGAACGATCTCAGGCTAGGCAAGGGGACAAGCTACAGCCCGGCTGGGTGATGGGAATGAAATGTGGATAAACCTTCGCAGTGTGCACCACTCTCAGAACCCAACCGAGGACGTGAGCCCCGGAACATGAACACCCAGAGGCCACCCTGGCCGGCTCAGAGGTGCGTGGCTGAGGCCCGGTGCCGCGCTGGCCTGCTTCACCTGCGCGGGYGCCCAGGGTGCAGGAAGGAACGTGCAGGTTCCAAAATAAGCAACAGCTGGAAAATCCTTCAGGTCCCTAAGGCGGGCAAGCGACCCTGCCAAGCTGAGGGTGCGAGCAGGAGCAGGTGGCTGGCCCCAGGGAGGACTCTACATGAAGTCCACTCGGAATGCATGGGGATGCGGAGCGGGTGGACACCCCCAGATGTCTGGTCCACTTAATAAAAGCCTACCGAGGGATCAAAGAAACGAACAGACGGCTCACAAACAGCCCTTGAACCAGCAGAAAGGGCATTCGCTCCACTGGCGCGGGAAACGAGGACAGAGGCCAAGCACTGGCCCTGCGAGGAGCAAACAGAAGCACCCTGCGGAGGGATCTGGCGAGGCCAGCAGGACTGGCCTGTCTGTCCGACCCACGTGCCCACGTCCAGGATGTACCCTGGAGATGCTCGGTAGGAAAATACAAGTGCTCCTAGTTACTCGCTGTCACCAAATCTGTATTTTATTGAATATTGGAAATCAGTTAAATGCCCCTTCGGAGAGCGGTCGGACGAGTAGCCACAGCACGTCTACATCCCGACGCAGCACTTTCCAGGAGATTCCGCCGGTGGAAAGAGCAGAGGGCAAATGCGCACAGATGCTCCCGTAAGAAGGGGAATGCGCRCTGGGACTTCCTGTAAGAAAGGGTGCCCGAACCTGCCCTCCGCAGGAGTGTGCTCTGGAGCTTCGTGTCATGGTCTACAGGCCCACGAGGAGGAAGGGCGGTGGGCCTCGGGGACTGCAGGGGAAGAGTGGCCCCACACGACCCCACGCAGGCCGGGAGCAGCCAAACCCAGGACCGCATTACCCCTTGTAGTCACGGGTGGGAGTGAAGAACCCTCACAAAGCTCACCTTTTTATGGTGGGTTTGTTTTGTGCAATTGTGTGACAAGGCAATTCTCAAACTATTTAATGTCTTCTCATTGAGCAAAGCAGTCAATGTGTGGATACCCGTGGAAGCCAGGATTCTCACCATGGAACAGAGTTGGGTAGAGGGAGCCCAGAACCCCATGGGCTTGTTGTGAACAGCTCACGCTCAGCAGACTCAGGAAACACGTCTTCATGCCCGTGCACCCGCATGTACACGTGCAGTGCCTGCAGTGTGCACGTGAGCTCACGGCACTGACCTGTCCTCCGTCACCCTGTGCCTGACAGTATCCCACCCTGAAGTGTGCTCAGTACAGCATGACTGCATCAGACCCCCCCAACGCAGTGCTAGACAGGGTGGCCTCCAGAAGCAAGTGCAAATGAGAGACACTGCCTAAGAAAACATCTGAGACGTTCATTCTCATTCTTTTCAACATGTTTACCTCCTGAAATCACCTGAATGCATGTGAGGGCCTGTGAGCACAGAAGCTGCAGGGGCGGGAGGGCAGGTGCTGAGGCCCTGGCCATGGGCAGCAGGTGCACCTGGGGGCAGTGCACAGTGAGGGCCACCACCAGCCAGCTGCTGGGACGGTCTTGCCTGGCCTGCTATCCCCTCTTGGTTGTGAGAGTGCCCGGATGATGAGAAGGGGTCCCCAGGGCCACCAGTGCCTGTGGCAACAGCTCTGAGGCCCTTGTCCTGTCAAGCTGTGTGTCCCAGGAATGGTGGTGGACAGGTCCCAGCCCTACCTGCCCTGGGGGCAGTGTCGGGGGCACGCTGTCACCTATCCCCTTTGGACGGCTGGACAACTCTCTCCAAAAGCACCAGCCTGGTCTGCAGGTTGACATCAAAGGGAGGCAGTCTGGTCAGGTTCAGACTCACACCACTGGTGCCCAGGATGCGGGCCAGGACACGGTGTGTGTCCCTGTAGAGGGCCAGGTGGCTGGGGGCTGCCTCCAGGAGGAGGTGCGTGTAGGCCAGCATGTCTGCCGCCCCGGGCTGCAGGTCCTCCCTCTTGTCGTATCTGGGGAAGAAGATCGGGCCATCCCCATGTACACCCATCCTCACCTGTGCCACTTGACAGCCCTCCCCACAGTCCTGGGTGCCCCATGGGGACCTGGAGATGGCCTCAAAGAGGAGCGCTTCCAGAATCATACCTCCAAGCACTGTTGACTTGCAAGAACCGCGACACACCTGTCTGGGCGGCGGCTGTGTCAATGTGCAGGAGGACATCTAGGGGGACCACACTGGGTGAGGACCACGCGGGCCCACAGGCGGGCCCACGGCACCCCGGCACCCACCTGTCCAGGGGGGCACCAGCTCGTGCAGCCGCTGCATGGCGATGCCACCAGGGTAGTTGAAGTGGGAAACGTGCAGGCACACGGCAGCATAGGCGGCATTCACCACCAGGTGTCCCGCCACAAGCAGGGTCCCCGCCTTGTAGAGCCAAGACTTTCTGTAATTATTCAGCCTGAAAAAGGAATGACTGAGTTCCACAAGGAGAGTGCCCAGCAATGTCCAGGACAACCTGCTCCCACTGGTCAGTCACCAAGGACATGTAGCCCCCTCGCATAGGTGGTCACAGGCCCTTCAGGAGGCCTTTCCACCCGAGATGCCAGTTTAAAACCTAAACTCTCAGAACAACGCATGCTCTTAAGGATTCCCAAGTCACTGCGGGGCCTGGGGGCTTCTGCTTCTGCTGTGAACAGGTAGAAGCAAACAGACCCAGGCACCAGGCCTCAGGCACCATGGGAAAACCACCAGCCAGGCCTTGCTCCCCACACAGTCCCCTGCTGAGGGCCCCCTGCATGACCCCTCTGTGCAAGAATGGGTTCTTGTCCTGTCCTATCCCTGAGAGCTGCTGACCGTGACCTTCAAGCCACCCCACCTGTGACTGTGACCTTCCACCCCTCCGAGCGCTGGCCTGCAATCTTCCTTACAGGCCGGGCTACCCACCTGTCCCAGTCTAAATTCCCAACAGTGTCACCCCCATGTTTGGCTTCCACCTTCAAGACATGAACCACGTCCCCAGCTGTGCTCTCCTCAGTCTGGGCCTGGCCTTACCCAGATGCCCAGGCTTTTGCTGCCCTGGGGCTGACCAGTGACTAGAGTTAGGTGCTGCCGCGCTGCATGGCCTATGGAAGAGAGCCACGACTCTGGCTCATTACAGAAAGCTCACCAAGGTCAAGGTCGTGGCTGGCCTCTCCTCCACCTGGGCCAACTAAGATGCAGAGTTTCAGCTTATGTGACTTCGCCCACCCCACTCCAGCAAGGGATTTGAGCAAGCAAGCTCTGGAGTGGCCCCGGCCTAGGGGCCTGCGGGAGGGCTTCCGCCCTGCTGGGGTTCCTGTTTGCCATGGGTCATGCATTGGAAAGCCTGCAGTGTACAGCCTGACCCTACCCTGGCCATCCAGGACCATCAGACAGACACCCAGCAGGACTAGGGCCCAGCCCCACCTTACACACTCCCGTGGCCACAGTGGTGCAGAAGCTGGCTCCTATATGGACAAGCCAGTGTGCCCACCAGGTGCCCTCACTGCATGGGCCAGCCCCAGGGCAGGCAGCAAAGCACAGCTACGGACAGGGACCAGCCAGCAGGGTGCAGTGCCGGGGGCCATCGCACCCACCCCCCAGGCTTCACAACATGTCCCCTCTGTCAGTGCCCACCAGGGAGCAAGCTCTCCTGCCAAGCTGCAGTGCAGCAGTCCGGGCCCTGGCTTCACGCCCAGCACCACAGGGACAGGGAAGGGGGACAGCAGCAGGAGGGCGGGACTCACAGGTAGGCACAGCCTCTGGCGGCCACCATGTTGAGCACGGGGAAGGTGTAGATGATGAAGCGCAGCTCCTTGTGCGGGAGCAGGGAGTAGGACGCCACGAAGCCCAGCGCCGGCAGAGCCAGCACCCGTGCCCGCCTGTCCATCACGCCCAGGGGCACAAAGAGAAGGCTGCAGCCCAGGCCCCGGGGCAGGGCCGAGTAGAAGTACCACAGCAGTGGGGAGGTCTTCCGGCCAGGGTTAAGGAAGTGTGGGTGAGAGGGCCACGTCCACTTAGCGGAACCCCAGCTGGGCAGCAGGGTCATGGCTCACCGGCCTCCTATTTACACAGCCTCCTAAACATGGTGGGGACCCTCGTGGGACCCACCAGGGCCAACATCTCAGGAAAGGCCAGGGCTCAGCCTGCACCTCAGAAACAGCAGAGGGACCCCAGGCACAGCTGAGGGGGTCCCTCCTCTTGCCCCTGTCCTCACTTTTAACAACAGAGCACATAGGTGCCGTGGGCACTGGGGAGCCACAACCACCCAYGTGTGTCTGGGACCCTCCACAGTCAGCACTTCTCTAGGGTGGGTCACCACCAGGACTCAGGGAGGCCAGGGACGCGCCATAGGGAGGTGGGTGCTCCCAGGGTGGGTACAGGGAGCCAGGGAGGAGAGTCCTCAACACCCACCCCCCCTGCAGAGGCACACAGGATACGCCCCAGTTGGAACTTTTGTTCAGGACAGTGTTGTACCAGAGCACCTTTCCTTCCGGCCACACAAGGTAGCGCCAGAAACAGGAGTCCACAGTGACCGTCAGTCCTGGTAGAAACAAAGTTTCCCAGTGAGGAGCATGGCCACCTGTCACACGAAAGCCCTGGAGTCCTCCCCAGGGGCTGAGTGGCCTGCTGGCCACAGACACCACCGTCTGCTTCACAGGAAAGCCTCTGACCATGCGGGGGACACCACTTCCTCAAGAAGAGCTTCCCAGAGCTGCAGACGAGCTGCCCCTCCCCACCCAAGGCCTTCCACCCATCTGGGCAGCTCCCAGGACAGAGGGGCAGGCAGAGGACCCCAGGCAGCAGCAGAGAGCAATCATGGAGCCACCACAGAGAACAGCTTGCGGGTAGCTGGACTAAGACCCTTGAGGACTCTAAAGTCGAGGTAACTCTGTTCAACATTTCTTAAAACCCAAACTTCCGTCCTTGTGAAATAAAACGAAATCCACCTGAACCCAGCCTGCAAGGCCAACCTACCCAGACAGAGCGCGCCCGCGGGGACGGCGTGCTGCAGCAGTCTGGCCACAGAGACCCTTCTGTGGTACAGCGCCAGCAGCAGCATGAGACCCAGCAGTAGGCACAGCTCAGCCCGGAAGACGATGGTCGCAAAGGCCGAGAGCCAGATGAAGCGGGTCCACCGGTGCTGTAGCCAGGCCGTGAGGGCCGGCAGGACTGCAAGACATGGGCACCCGTCACAGTCCCACCCAGTTCAGAACACACCCACGCCACGAGGGAGGCTCATCGTATTGTAAGTCACAACCGCCATGCAGCGGGTGCATCTGAACCCAGCCCTGAGAACAGAGGGGCCTGGCTTCGGATGACGGGTGGTGTTTCTGAGGAGCTCAGCTCGGGGCAGGGTCTTCCGGCAGAGCCTGTGACTACATACCCACAGCCAGGGCCAGCACATTGGGGAGCGTCCGCGAGCAGTAAAACATCAAGTGGAACTGTGTAGCCGTCACCCAGCAGAACATGGTGGCCACCGTGGCCCCAAACTGTCGCCTCACTTCTTTTTGTAATGCCCAGAGTCCCAAAATCACGCTGAGCCCGAGGACTCCTCTGACTAGACAGACAGACAGACAGACAGCAAAGTCCATGACTGAAGGGGACAGTGAAGCACCCTGTCCTTGGCACTTCTGTGGGGAACTGCACTGCCTGGCCCTAGTTCTGCCCTGGGCCCCGCGAGCTGGCCAGGGGCCCAGGAATGGAACAGTGGCCATGGGCAGGATGCCGATGGGAGCTGCCCAGGGCCAGTGGGATTGTGGAGGTGCCCAGGACAGGGCTAGCAGATACCATATGTTCTTGGAGTAGACAGACCTCATGGCTGCTGCCAGAGACTGAAGCTGGGAAGAAATGGCCTTCTGGAGGCCAGGACTACAAAGTGCCCTTGTGAAGATCACAGGCCAGGTGACATGGGCAGCCTCAGGGGGCTGGTGCTACAGACTCGAGAGGCCGAGCTGGTGTCTGTGGGGTGGGCCTGCCCCGGCACCAGGCACTTCCCTTGCATGCTTCCGGCTGTTTGGAACTGATGTCCACGAGGAGGCAAGTCCAGCTGCCGTTCTAGCACTGAGATGCCACTGGCGGCTTCCACGTGGTACTCTGTGAAGTTCCTTTATTTCCTCTGAGTCTGTGTCTGAGGCCCTTCACCTGTACCTAGGGCTACCTCTGCCCTCTCTCTTCCTAGGTGTCTAACCATCCCTGAGTGCCCAAGACAGGGCTGGCAGACAGTGACAGTTTATGATACAGCCCCAGTCCCAGGGGACATTATTGTCATCCTGTGAGGAGTCATTCTCCAGACTGCCTTAGTGCCGTCAGGAAGGAAGACGGCAGCCATGCAGAGGGCAGCCAGGCCTCGCTCGGTGCCCAGGCGTCTCTCCACTGCCCAGGATACAGAGGCCTCTGGGGAAAGTGCACCCCAACCTGGAAGTGCAGATTTCCTCCGCAGACTGTGGCCCAACCCTCTCCACCTGCCCCGGCCCCAAGACTTCTGCACAGCAGGCATAACTAGCTAGCTGCCCAGGTGGTGGTCAACCTCCACGTCCTGATCAGTCCTTCCAAGAAGCAGAGCTGCACTTTAAAAGGTCTCCATGCAGGCTGCATAAATGGGCTGTGAGAATAACACGTCTGAGTGAGTGGGAAAACTTAAGTATGATCTGCATTAGATGTGATAAAAATGTACTGAAGAGGAAAAATGATGATCACTGCCTAAAAAGAATCAGGCATTGGGCCTGGGTTATGGCTCAGTGGCAGAGCGCTTGCCCCAAAAGCATGAGGCACTGGGTTTGATCCTCAGCACCACATAAAAATAAATATATTAGGGCTGGGGATGTGGCTCAAGCGGTAGCACACTCGCCTGGCATGTGTGCGGCCCGGGTTCGATTCTCAGCACCACACACCAACAAAGATGTTGTATCCGCCAAAAACGAAAAAATAAATATTAAAACAAATCTCTCTCTCCCTTTAAAATAAATAAATATATATATTAGTTAAAAAAAAAAAAGAATCATATGGTGGAACAATATACATCATATGATTCTTTTCATAAAGAAAAACCATAAGGTTCTCAGTCTAGTTTGGGGAAAAAACACAGGCAACAAAGTGCAGTTAGCAGCAACACACTCTGGTGCTCCACAGAACATGTGGCACCAAAAGGTGACTGCTAGCAGCTTACAGGAGACTGAGAACAAGGAGAGCCTCAGGCTTTCCCACAGAAACGGCCCTGGCCCAGGAGCCAGAAATGCTGACTGCCTGTGTGTGCTGTGCCCCAAACATCAGCACACGCATCTGTGTCACCACACATCTCACGGACACAGGGAAGTCCCAGAGACCTGTCCATAGGCCAGCACAGTGGCCCCCAAGAACATGAGGCTGTCTGCCTACTCCCCAAAGCAGGCCCACTGTCCTGCAGCAAGGACTCTTTGCATTGTAGGCTCTCCCACTGAGGAGGGAGCCCCAGGCCTCACAGGCACCTGCCCTCCCACACCAGCCCTGTGGAGGCACAGAGCATGCCCACCCATCCCTGGTCTGTCTGCAAGGCCATGCTCTGAGCCTCGGCCCAAAGTGACCGAGAGCAGTCAGGTACAGGCACTCCCCTATGATCCCAGCGGCTCAGGGGGCTGAGGCAGAAGGACCCCAAGTTTGAGGCCAGCCTCAGCAACTCAGTAAGACCTTGCTGCAAACTGAAAAATAAGGATTGAGATGTAGCTACGTGGTAAAGCACCCCACCCCTGGGTTCAATCCCCAGAGGCAAAAAATAAATTTTTAAAAAGTAATAATAAAAGCAACTGAGGGCTTTTGACATTTGGAGATGTAAGGAGAACATTCCCAAATGAGAAGCAACCAGCCCCACAGAGACCATGTGCTGCTATCACAGTCCACCCTCACCTGTCAGCTGGGAATAAAACCTGGACACTTCCAGCAGTGAAAGCACATAGACCAGGGGGCTGGAGACTGCCGCCATCAGCAGAGGCCCAAGGAACGTCCTGGGGACAACACCGGGAAATTCATGGTGGTCATACTGCAAGAGAGGGAGAAGTTGGCACAGCGGTCAGGCAGGGAGCACGCTGAGGTCCTCCCCAAAGGCACTAGCAGCCTCACCTTGTCCATGTCCAGTCGGTGGTACAGCAGGTCGTGTGTGGCCTGCAGGTTGAAGCTCTCCTCCACCTTGGTGTAGGGACAGGTGAAGAGGTGGACGGCAGCGACTGCAACCAGCAGCCCCAGCAGCAGCAGAGGCCGCCGGCTGAGCGACCTCTTTCCAGCCATGTGGGGCTTTAGACTTCACGTGCCTGGGACAGACAACAAACTGTCAGCAGCCTACCCTGCACCTTCTGAAAGGACAAGTGGACCCTGGAGCTTCAGAAACCATGCCCGAGGTCACGTTTGTGAGACCTGGGGGAGGCAGGCAGGAATGCTGTGAAATCTGGAAGTTAAAGGAGAATCCTGCATAAGAAGCTGTCCGTCCCAACATGCTTCGAGCGCTGTTGGGAGGCCTACTGCAGAACCTGCAGTCTGCCCTGGGAATCAGGTGAACCAGCCAGGGAGACAGACAGGCGCTAGCAGGGTAGGGGCTGGGGGAGGCCCACATCCCAAAGATGAGAAAGGAACAACCACAGGGGTGCAGCAGGCTGGACGCAGCACAGCTGCTGGGGACATGGGGTTCAGGGTGCTACAGAGCTCCACCCCCCAGAACAGTGGGATGGGACTATGGATGTCCACCCTGCTGTGCTCTGAACTTCCCAGGGGCCTGGAGCAACACAGGCTTTCCCCAGGTGGCACCACACTGGCCATGGCCCTGAATGTGTGCCATTGACACTGCCTGCCAGCAGTCATCCAGTGCTAAAGATGGCTTCAGGGACCTATGACATGGAGTTGCTGAGAATCCATGAGACCACCCAGTTGCACCCCTGGAAGACCTAGGAAGAGGAAGGGAAAATGCTTCTTCATGTTTCTGGGTTATTTAAAGAAGGTTTGATTTTATCCAGTGAAATCCAGAAAAGCCAGAAGCAAAGGGAGACCATGCCACGGGACTTACCATTTATTAACACCACTGCTTGATTAGATGGTTAGGAAGTTGGTGCGCTCCAGAGAAAGCAGAGGGGGCGTCCTTGAGGAAGGGGCATCTACAGATCAGAAGGAGCAGAGACCATGTGGTGGGGAGTGGGGAAAAAGCAGAAAGAGACTTTAGTGGTTTCAGAAAAACCAAAATGGTACAGAAAAAAATACAAAAATTTGGTACCAAGCTGGACATGAAGAGCCACACCTGCAGGCTGAGGCACGAAGATTCCAAGTTCAAGGCCACACCGGGTGACTCAGTGAGATTCCAAATAAAAATTTTAAAAAGGAATGGAGGTGTAGTCAGAGAGGGAGTGCTCCTGATTTAATCACCWGCACTGCACATGCACACACACCATTTCAGTACCAAAGAGATCTCCAGGCCAGTTAGAACCACTGTCCACAGTTGTCCCCCTCTTTTCAGCTACCAGAGGCCAGGGTTTTCTGCTGTTTTTCCCAACCAGGGTCCCGTCACAATCAAAAGCAGAGGCTGGCCGTCCGAGGAGCTCTCCGTGCCGGGGCTCCCCGCGTGCGCGGCCGGCAGGCCCTCCGACACACACCAGCAGCGGGCACTCAAACAGCTCGGCTGAGGAAGGCACGTGGCACCCAGCCTCCGGCGGGYTACGTCCGCAGTGGGGACGAGCTGGGCCTAACGTCCCGGGCGGCAGAGGGGACGCCCTCCCTCCCGCTGCCCGGGGAACAGGGAAACCGGAAGCACCGACACGCACGCCACAGGCAGCTGCGCGGGGCGTGCAGCTTGGCAGGGACCCTGACACCGCGTCCCAGCCGTCTCTGCTAGAGGTCAACTCCCAAGTGAAGGTCCAGTCCCCAGGTGAGGGCCGCCCCCAGGTGACAGACCCGGTCCTCACGCGCAGGAACGCCCGGGGAACGCTGCGACCAACGCAGGCTAGAAGTCTCCTTCACTCTCCCCGAGTTCCCAGCCGCGGCGGCGCGCACTGACCCCTTCTCACCGCCCGCACCGTCCCTCGGAGCTAGACGGCCAGGACTGCCCTCAGCCGGAAGCCGGGCGGCGGAAACAGCGGAGGCCAGGCCCTTTCCCGAATCTAACATGGSCGCCGTGTCTCCGACTGCCGCCACAGCGGAGCGCCCACCGGCCCAGAGTAAAGATGGCCTCCACCGGCGGCACGAGAGGGGCGGGGCGCGAGTGCCGCTTCCGATTTCGCGGCCCCGCCCCTCCCGCTGGTAGCTGACCCGGGGCCTTCCCATTGGTCACCGCTCGTGGCGAGCCCGGATTGGGCCACATCAGGCTGGGACCGATCCAGCCGGCCAATGGAGGTGTGCGGGCTTCGGGATGGGCGGGGCCTCGGCGGCGCCGTCAAGTAGCCCCGGGAACGGCCGGCAAGCTGGCCGGGTGGGCGGAGGCCCAGCGCTCGGCCGCGGTTTGCCGCCTGTCGCCCGCCCGCCATGCGTCCACCGCCCCGCACCGCGCTTGGGTTTCTGCTGCTGCTGCTGCTGCCGCCCGCTCCGGACGCAGCTCGGAAGCTGACGCCCTGCCAGCAGTGCCGGGCACTGGTGGACAAGTTCAACCAGGTGGGCCGGGGCGTCGGGACGGGAGGGACCCCGATAGGGATCCTGGGGCGGTGGGGCCGGGGCAGTGGGAGTCCTGGGAACGGGGCAGGGTCGCGGAGACTGCAAAGCTATGGACGTGAGGTCCCTGCTGTGCGAATCAGTGTCACCGGGGACCGCAAGATTTGGGTCTTGGTGGGGAGTGCCCCCCCGGGGGGGGGGGTCCCAGATGCAGAGTAGTCTAGCCCGTCCACCTCCTCAGGGGATGGCCAACACGGCTAAGAAGAACTTCGGTGGCGGCAACACAGCCTGGGAAGAGAAGACGCTGTCCAAATACGAATTCAGGTTGGCTCCCAAGCACCACCAGGGTCTGCCTTTGGAACCTGCGATGAGGACAGATACACTGAAGGATCCCTGAGATGCCATCACCTGTCCTTGGTCTCCTCTGCCTCTGGCCTGGATCTAATGTGATGGCCCCTCACTGGCCTGGCTGCTTCAACCCTGCCCCCTGCCCCCTGTGGTCCATTCTCCTTGCACCAGCCTCCTGGAATGCTCCTGCCTGATTTACAAATTGAACCTCATCATAGGTTTGCATCTGTAGGTAAAAAACAGGTTTAGAGGGCTTGCTACTCCAGGATTCACATGTCCACTTGCCCCTTGGAACGTCTCCCACAGGATAAGGGAAGAAGTGTTCTTTATCCCTAACAGGTGGGATAAATCCCCTTCCCCCTCTGCCCAGAGCCTGGTACCTGACCACCCCAGGGTATGGGCCGCTGTGCTCTATCCATGTGTTGGTTTGAGGTCTGCTTCACTAGAGGGGCTGTGGTCCCAGCCTGGCCACAGTTAGGACTCAGGACTTGTCTGAGTGAGTAAGCCAGTGCCCCCTGATGCTGATGGTGTTTGTGTTTCAGTGAGATCCGGCTCCTGGAGATCTTGGAAGGCCTGTGTGAGAGCAGCGACTTTGAGTGCAACCAGATGGTGGAGCAACAGGAGGAGCGCCTGGAGGCCTGGTGGCTGCAGCTGTGAGTGTGTGGCCTGGTGGCACCTGTGCAGTCACCAGACATACCCAGAAGTTGCTGATGTCCCCATTGTCCCTGTCTCCTGTTTTAGTCATATGTTACCATTTTTTATTACCAGAGTATGACTCTCACAGCCAGGAAGCTAGCTAGAAATTCCTATGCACACCTAACTCTTGTCCCCCAGAGGAGCCTCAGGAGCTCATACAGTGCCCTGTACAATGCCCCCTGCCCTCCGGGTCTCTTCCCATACTCAGTAGCAGTCTGAAAATATTACATGGAAAATCCAGAAAAGAGCAATTCAGTCATTTTATTAAGTTCTTGTTACAGTATTTTTAAAATTATTGTTATTGCTAATCTTTCACTGTGTCTGATTACAAATTGAACCTCATCATAGGTTTGCATCTGTAGGTAAAAAAAAAAAAAAAAAAACACATTTAGAGGGCTTGGTACTCCAGGGTTCACGTGTCCACCTGCCCCTTGGAACATCTCCCACAGGATAAGGGAAGCAAATGTTCTTTGATGCTGCGTTCAATGGACATTTTCAAACCATTAGGAAGAAGAAGTACCCTGACCTGTTCGAGTGGTTCTGTGTGCAGACACTGAAAGTGTGCTGTTCTCCAGGCACCTATGGGCCAGCCTGCAGTGGTATGTTCTTGGGGAAATTTCAAGTCTACATCATTCCTCTAGTTTATTTCTGGTTCCCAAGTGTTTAAAAGCCCACAGGGGTCCTGGGCTGCTTTAGCTGCATGAGCTGGTGTGTGGGACCCTGCCTCCTGTGTGCAGCAGGGACCCTCCAACACCTGCCCTGGGGGAGCAGCATCTCTGCTTGGCTTCAGAAAAGTTCTCCCTCGGACTGCAGAACGCTGAGTCAGTTCCAGTGCTCTTTTGGTGCAAGGACCACAGACTCAGCAGCCCCCACCCTGCAGAGGACTGTGGCTGGGTTGTCCACTGGCCCTGATGTGAAGCACTCGTTGAAATTGGAGCTGCAATTTACTGTTGGGTTATAGAAGCCAGTCATGTTAGTCAGGCTGGGTTAGGAGGCAGTTCACGTTCACACCCTGCCTCCAGTGCTACAGCCACTTCCACCCGTCTCTCCCACTTTCCCTGGCCGCGTGCTGGATGCACATGCCTCCCGGGGGGGTCCCACCACCTATGCACAGGCAACCTTGAATCTTCCCAAAGTCAGGCTTTGTAATGAAACCAGGAGATGTGGCTGGTTCCTGTGCAGGTAATCCAGCATCCGCCCTGTCAGCCCCTGGAGGCTGGTGTCTCCAGGTGCCATGAGCAAACTTGCAGGCTTATCTATTAGCAGGAATGTGCAGGGCTTGGATTTTAGGGAGAAATCCAAACACTCTTTGGTTAAAAGTAACTTGAGGGGTGTCCTGGAGTTTTCCCACTAGCTGCCCCTGGGTGTGTGCTGAGTATGGGTTTTTGTCATCCCCCCCCCCCCAGCATGCCAGGGAGGCTCTGAGAGGCCCTGCAGCGGAAATGGCCACTGCAACGGAGATGGCAGCAGACAGGGGGATGGGTCCTGTCAGTGCCACATCGGATACCAGGGACCGCTCTGCAAGGACTGTGTGAGCAGCTACTTCAGCTCACTGAGGAATGAGACCCACAGCATCTGCACAGGTAGGCCCAGTGCCAGTGTGCTGCCCAGCCCACCTGCGGGAGCTGTGGAGGTGGGAACAGGGGCAGCCAGGGACTCCTTGGCCCCAGGTGTCCAGGGGAGCTTAGGAGACCTGAAGATGTGACCCTTAAGAGAGACCCTTAAGCCAAGTGCAGTGCAGCATGCCTATCATCCCAGCGGCTTTGGAGGCTGAGGCAGGAGGATCATGAGTTCAAAACCAGCCTCAGCAAAAGCAAGGCCCTAAGCAACTCAGCGAGACCCTGTCTCTGAATAAAACACAAAGTTGGGCTAGGGATGTGGCTCAGTGGTGAGCAATTACCTAGCATGTGTGAGGCACTGGGTTTGATCCTCAGCACCCCATAAAAATAAATAAATAAATAAAGTTATCACGTCCATCAACAACTAAAAGAAATTCAAAAGAAAAAAAGAAACAGCCCTGAGCCAGGCCAGGGATGCACCTCTGTAATCCCAGCAGTTTGGTAAGCTCAGGCAGGAAGATCACAAGTTCAAAGCCAGCCTCAGCAGCTTAGCAAGGCCCTGAACAACTTAGTGACACTCTGTCACAAAAGAGCTGGGGCTGGGACTCAATGGTAAAGTGCCCTGGGTTCAATCCCCAGTACCAAAGAAACACCACTGAACAGCCCCCAGAAGGAAAAGCTACTCACGCCTGCTGTGAGCCGTCCTGGGAAGGACTTGAAGTCTCTCGTTGAGTGGCAGGTTGTCACCCCTGTGGTAGGTGCCCTTGGTTGTTGGGCTTGGCACTTAGTGCGGCACACGGGATGTGCTCATGGCCACTCAGACAGCGATGTGGAGGGAGCAGACACGCTGAGCCTTGCAGGAGTTGGCTGCACAGGAAATAGAAGGACTCTTGGAGGCCACTCGGGTGCCTGACCCCTGCCTGGTCCCTGTGCAGCTCCCTTCCTGCGGATGGGTCCTGCTAACCCTGGCTTGGCCACAGCTCCAGGGCTGGGCAGGCTTCCCCAGGGGTCCTCCCTTGAAGGAGCCTCCAGAGCTGCCCGTCAGGTCACACAGGGCAGTGCGGCCTTGGCCAGTGTGTGCCCTGGCTCACACGCACAGTGCTGGTTGCAAAGCCGCCTTCCCTCCCGCAGCCCAGCTCTCCCCATCGCCCTTGCCCAGGGGAGCTGTTCCTGGACTTCTGCTCAGGGTGCCTCTCGGGGACCGGTGAGGCCAGGCCTCGGATCCCTGCACCTGTCTTCCTCTCTCAGTGTTGGGGGTGTGCCCACCCAGCCCGTTGGCTCCAGAGTTCGGGTGGCTGTCCTTTCCAGGCCTGGAAACCTTCTGGAGTCCTGAAGGGCCGCGGAGCCTGCAGTCTGCTTTCCTCCCGAAGTCTGTAAATACTGGAACCACACRAGCAGATCCCCCTGCTGACCCACTCTTGCTTGCCTGGAACTTTTGTTCTCCTTCCTTCGGATCCCGCTGTTGAACTCGAGGTCCTCTTTCTGAAAGGAGGGTAGAGATTGCAGGGCGTTTCTGACGCAGCTGCTTTGCCTTCCAGCCTGTGACGAGTCCTGCAAGACATGCTCGGGCCCGACCAACAGAGACTGCCTTGAGTGTGAAGAGGGCTGGACGCGCGTGGAGGACACCTGCCTGGGTGAGGAGGGCACCGGGCCAGGGGACCCCACAGGGGCATGAGGGTCGTAGCGGGCTCTCATCCACTGCTGTGTCTCGGCCCTGTTCTGGTTGGTGAGAAGGTGATCTGGTGTTTTCATGGCCTGGGTAGAGGCTGACGTGTGACAGTTTTAGGAAGGACTGTCCCTGCCACAGTGTCCTTGTTGCCAGTGGCCCAGGGTGGCTGGGAGCTGCTGGTCCAAGCTGCCCCCTGAGTGGCCGACTGTACCAACAGCTCACCTTCCATCTCTCCATCTCGGGCAGGGTTGGGGGCCTCCCTGGGCCGACACCCTGCTGTGCCTGGTCCTGTGGGGGGACCTCTGTCCCGGTGTGCAGGCCCAGAGAAACTGAAGCACACACCTCCCCTGGAGAGCTGCGTCCAGCCACCAGCTGCCTGTGACCTTCCACCACCCTGACTCAGCGGCTCTGGCTTCTTGCCTGGCGGGGGAGGTGGCCCAGATCCCACCTTGGGGCACTGTCCCCAATGCAGGCCTGCTCTGTGCTCTGCGTCATGGTGCTGGGAGGCTCTGTCCTGGCCGACACACCATTGTCCGCTTGTTTCCTGCCTGCCTGTGGCCAACACCTGCTCCAGTCCTCTTTTGTATTACCCCCTCTGCTGCAACCACTCTGTAGCATCCTGGAGAGCGGGCACCAGCCTGGCCTTGCTGCAGCCAGGTGCCCTCCCGTCTGCGGGCATTGGTTTTGGTCTCTCCTCTCAGCAGCTGCTCAGCCTTAGGCACATTGGGGGCGTGGCCCCACAGGTTTCACCCGGGGGGAGGACACCAGGTGCCCGAGTACCAGAGGTTTGTCACGGCTCCCACTGCAGCCCGTCCACCTGGTGCCAAGTGCCCAGCATGACAGGCTGCCACCTCGTCCCCACCCCTGCCCTTGGAGGTCTCGGGATGGTGGCTGTGGGGACTGGAGTCCACCCAGGCAGCCTTGCTAAATTCCGTTCCAGATGTGGACGAGTGTGCGGCCGAGACGCCTCCCTGCAGTGAGACGCAGTACTGTGAGAACGTCAATGGCTCCTACACGTGTGAAGGTCCGGCGTGGGCACATCGTCCTCTCTGGGCTGGGGGGCTCTTGGACCTCAGGTCCACCGGTCACCTCTGGCCCTGCCACAGGCCTTGGTCCTCCTCCCTCGGCAGCAGGCTGCCAACTCGTGCGTCACACGAGGGGCTGGGGGCACGGCCCTCTCCACACTCCCTTGAACCTCTGGTGTGTTTCTCACCCTTACATACTTGGGCTGCTGTTGTAGGTAAAGCTTTCAACATTGGCTGTTGTCTGGGATCAGTTTTCAAATTGTCCTGCCAGGGGGATATAGGTGGAGGGTCATTCTGTCCCCAAGAAGGTGGTGCTGCTTCATGCTCCCTGCAGACCCCCATGTCTGCAGCTCTGCTGTTGCAGCCAGGTCCCGACCAGGAGGTCACACTGGAGACCTTGTAGTCCCCAACAGAGATTTTCCTAGGCTACTCCTGGTCGGACACATTTCTGTTGCCCATCTTGAGGTGACTTTGGGAAAAGTTCAAGTCCTGTTTCCACCTCAGCAAGAGACTTGGGAAGGGCTGTTGTATTCCGTGCTTCTCCTGCCCGGAGTGCTTTCTCTCGGCTCTTTGGGAGCTCGACGGTCGCAGGTGGTCATTACAAAGTCACTCCAGTGGTTGATGAGGGAAGAGCCTGGATTCCTACCTCTGTGGGCGCCTCTGACCCTCATCAGTGTGGCTTGGGCCCTGCACTGGCGTGGAAGGTGGTCTGACGTCCCTTCCCTCCTCGTTTCTAGAGTGTGACTCCACCTGTGTGGGCTGCACGGGAAAAGGCCCAGCGAAGTGTAAAGAGTGTGTCTCTGGCTACTCGAAAGAGGATGGACAGTGTGCAGGTCAGTGAGCTTGTTTCTGCCGAAGATGGGATCGCCCCAGGGACCACTGTGGGCCCTAAGAGACCCTCACCCAGTGGGTGGGAAACTGCTCTCCTTTTCCTGCAGACAGGTCCTCCGCCTTTCCTGGGTGGGGACCGGGGGAGGGTGGCCAGCTGTAGCCGTGAGTGCTAAGGCTCGAGGTGCTCAGGCCTTGGCTCCAGGCCACTCACCGGCCTCCTGCCCACACACTGCCTGGTGTCTCGTTTCCTGCAGTCAGGGGCCCGGCCTCTCCCTTGAAGCCTCTCCTGATGTCCGTCACTCCTCTCTCTGACACGCAACCCCTGGGCCTCCCGGGTGGATTTCATGGTCTCTGGTGTGTGTTTGCTAAAGGAAGTGATTTATGGAAACTGGACGTTTTTATCTCAGACGTAGACGAATGCTCACTAGTAGAAAAAGCATGTAAGAGGGAAAACGAGAACTGCTACAACACCCCGGGGAGCTTCGTCTGCGTGTGTCCTGAGGGCTTCGCAGAGACAGAAGACGCTTGTGTGCCAACGGCACAGGGTGGTGAGTGGGCGGCCTTGGCTCCCAGGTGCTGGGCTTGGGGACACCTGCTGCCTGTGGGAATGAACAGGAGAGCAGTCTTGGGGTGACAGATTCCTGGGAGGCAGCTGTGGGCAACCTGGGCAGCGCACGCCGGGCACCAGCTCCATAGGACACAGACAAGCTGGGGCAGTGGACAGCACCTAGTGGAAGAGTAGTGTTCAGGCTGGACGGTGGGGTCCAAGGTGAGGCCAGGTCGGTAGGTCGCTGCAGGGAAGGAGAGGTGGAGGGTAGGAGAGCAAGATGGTCCCACTGAGGGTCTGGGTCAGTTTTCTGGGGCTTCTCTGTGTCCTGGAGCCCGAGGTCAGGGTGTGGCGGGGCCTGCTCTTTCTGAGCCTGTGAGGGAGGGTCTGTCCAGGCCCTGTGCTTGGCCTGCAGACAGTCATTTCCTCATCTTTACCTGGTTGTCCAACTCTCTGAACTGTGGTTTTTGTGAGGAGTCCACCGGTCCCATTGGCCCCAGGCCCACCCCAGCGACCTGATCTTTAAGATCATCTGCAGATACCCTATTTCCAAACAAGACCACACTTGCAGGTGCAGGGTGGGACTTGAGCATCTCTGGGAGGCACAGTTCAGCGTTCAGCCTTGGGGGGGTCTTGTAAAGTTCTAGAATGTGGAGAGGGAGCGGGCAGTGTTCAGGGAGATCACAGCAAGAGTTTTGCAGAACCAGGAAAGTAAGATCCAGAAGCCCCATCCATAGGCCCTGCCTGTGCAGGAGCTAGAGAGGAGAGAGCTTGGCCTCAGCAGTGAGGCAGGGCTGGAGGGCAGGCCCCAGAGCCCTCTGCTGCCCCAGTCTGTGCTGCAGGCCTCTGCACAGCCCGCCCGCTGCCTGCCTGGACACCCTGGCTGTGGGTGCTAGGCGCAGGGCCTTCCTCCTGGGCTGCCCTGGAGGCTGCAGGTCCAGGGGGAGCCAGGGCATGGGCCAGGGTGTGTGGGGACGTGAGCTCCTGCGTGCCCCGTGTGCCCCAGTGAAGATGGGAGGCCTTCCCACGGGCCTTTGGTCAGTGATCCCTGTCGCCTCCTGACAGAAGTGCCGGAAGAAAACCCAGTACAGCCACAGCCACCCTCACGTGAGGATCTGTGACAGCGTCCGTCCGGGTCAGAGTCAGTCCCACCCTTTAAATTATTGAGAGTGGCGTCCTGTGGGAAAGGCAAGGCGGCCCTGTGGATGGCGGGGGAGGAGCTTGTCCTTGGAATGGGACGCTCACCTGGCCCTTTAAAAGCTGCACTTCCCGATTGTTCTTGAGCAGATTTGTATATTTTGATACCATTCTTTATAATAAAATTGACCATTGAAAGTAGTTGGAAACGGCGCGTGGGCTCACCTCGCTGGCCCTGTGGACCTTGAGCACTGCCCCAGCAGGGACGGGCAGGACTGCCTGGGCCTGCAGAGGGCGCAGCCGAGCAGCATGTCTGGGCCGCAGGCCTTCCCCAGCAGGGCTGCGTGGGGAGGGCCCTCAACCTGGGGCTGCTGGGGCTCAGAAGTGTCCCCTTGTGTGGAAGGCTGGTTCCCCAGCCAGTGGTGCTCTTGGGAGGTCGGGAGCATCTCGGGGCCTTCCAGCTGGGGGAGCATCCTCTACAGGGCTGTTGGGACCCCGTCCCTTCTGTGTGCTTTCAGCTCCCACCGTGACACTCTGCCTCACCATAGGCCCAAGCAAGGCGGCTAATCAGTCAAGGATGGGAACTTTCACCACCAAAACAAACCTTTGCTCTTTTTAAGTTGATACCCTCAGGAGTTTTGTTTCTAGAAGAAAAAGC